TTGCAGCAATATGGATGGGTCCGGAGGCCATTATCATAAGTGAACTAACACAGAAGCATAAAACCAAATGCTGCATGTTCTCACTTAAAAGTGAGAGCTAAACATTTAGTACACATGGGTGCAAAGAAGGAAACAACAGACACTGGGGTCTACTTGAGTGTGATGGATGGGAGGAGGGCAAGGATTGAAAAACTACCTCTAGGGTACTATGCTTATTTCCTGGGTAATGAAATAATCTGTACATCAAGCTCACACAACATGCAATTTACTTAGAAAACAAACCTGCACATGTACCGTCTGAAACTAAAATAAAAGAAAAAAAAAATAAATGATTTCAAATGTTCTCAGCAGTGTTATTCCCACATTTCAATGTTCTTATCTCCTTTAGCAAAATTCCTTCTATTCTGGCTTTCTCCTCTGCACATTACTGAAACTCCTTTGGAAAAGTTTTTAAATGATCAACATTGTGCCATGTTAAAATGAATTCTTTTCATTTTATTTGGTCTCCTGGCAGGCTATCCTTTCATTTTGGGAAAACTTGCTTCTAGACTCCTATGATGCCACATTCCACTGTTTTTCTCCTACCTCAATGGTTGCTTTCCTAATTTCTTTGATGCATTTTCTTCCAAAACCATCTCTAAACTCAGAGTTGTTCAGGGCTTGATTTTGATCCTTCTCCTTTTGACATATTTTCTTCCTAAATTACCTCATCAAGCTATGACTTAAAATAATATGTATATTTTGATGACTCCAGTTTTTATCTAAAATCTAAATAGTGACTCCAAATTTATAAATCTGAAGCCTACCTGACGTTTCTCTTTTATCTCTTGTAGGCATCTTAACACTAATGTATCCTAAATCGAATTCTTGATGATCTCACCAAATTTATTCTTCCTCTGTGCTTCTTCCCTTCTGTATTAGTGCACAGCACCAACTATCCTCCCAGCGATTCAATCTTAAAACCTAGAATTCATCTTTTTACTCACTCACTTCAATCAAATCATCTACAAGTTGTCAGTTCAACTCTTAAATGGTATTTTGAATTCATCAATTTTTCTCCATCCCTACCGCTATGACTGCACTCCAAGCGTTTCTTGCCTGAACTACAGCAATAAGCATCTTTTTCTCTTTCCCTCCTCCAATTTAGTTTATTCAAGACGTCATTCAAGAGATGGAACTTCTGTTTTGGAATTATGAGTTTTACAATCTAGAATCACCTCAGATTATTTCAGAATCCTGAGATCCCTGATGCTAGACCTGAAAAAGATGTACAGATCATATAATCTATGTACATCCAACATTAATAAGAATAGGTTATGCTAAGTCTAGGTCATAAAAAAGCCCCAAATCTAAGTAAACAAAGTGTTTACTTAGACTAATGCAACAAAGTGTTCTTTCATAATCAAACTATACAATCATCATGGGGTTTCCGGGGGCTCTGCTTTGAGTCATCGACATTGCAGGACTCATCCTAATGGAGCAGCCACTGCCTGGAATCTTGCCAGTCTCAAGAATGACAGAAAGAAAGCTATAGTAAAAGCACCCACTGTGTAGTTTAAATGTTTCCTAAAAGTGACATACATCACTTTCAATCCATTTCTTTGGCCCAGGCAAGTTGCTTGGCCATGTCTGAATAGAAAGGGTGTAGGGCAGTGAGATACTCCCATGTGTCTACATGGAGAACTAAAAATATTCAGTGAATAGCACTAATGACTAATTCTCTCTTACATTTTACAAATGAAGAAATTGGGACCTAGAGAGATTATGTCAATTGTAAGATCATGAAGCTGATTTATGTCACAGTTAAGACTAAAACTGAGTCTTGAACTCACTGTCCAGTGCTTTGCCTAACAATGAACTGGGAATCGTGTGTTCCTTATCCAAACAAAATACATTTAAATGTCTTAATATCAATATTTTATGTATTTATTTAAGTAATATAAACCTCCTGTATTGAAACATTTTATACCTTTGCTAAAAATATGAAATTTAGAGGCCTTGCTGCTCTAGTGTCACTGATGGTCCAGCAAGATGCCCCAGTGTCAGAGCACTCAAAAGCTCTCTGACCCGGCGGTTCTCATTTCTAGCAAAATTAAGTCATGTTTTATGCTAGGGATACTAAACACACTGGCTTAAGAAATGTCAAGGAGATAAGCAAAAGAACTGTGAATCTGTAAACTAAGCACCCCCTGTTAAATCCACTAGAAATGTGTTCAAAACAAGAACTCCATTTAGCAATAGCTTACGGAGGGGAGATTTATTTGACCCTTACGACAAGTCTAAAGGTGAAAGGCTACTGATGTTGGTTCCATAGGTCAGTGGTATAAGAGCCCATGGATCTCTTGGTCTTTTCTCATGGACACCGGAGGGCTGTGACTGCTCCATGCATTACACCTGTGATCAGTCTAGAAGAAGGAGGAAAGTTGAAGCCAGATGAGACGGCTCTTTTTATTGGAGAAGCGAAAACCTTCTCAGGATCAATAATTCACCCCTCATTCTATCAGACTATTATTCTCATTCCCTGATTGAATAGAAGATTGTTTTGAGATAATTTATCTATCATTCTTAAATTTTACATGGAAAATACTGTGAATAAAATATATATTTACCACTGAACTCACAGTAGCTATGTTACGTATCTTCATAATTGGTGAAATTAAAAAACACAGTCATGTGCTGAATAATGATGTTTCAGTCAATGATGGACTACATACACAATGATGGTCTCATAATATTATAAGACCATACTTTTACTGTACTTCCTATGTTTAATTCTATGTTTAAATATGTTTAGAGATACAAACACTTACCATTGCGTAACAATTGCCTATGGTACTCAGTAGAGTAACAGGTTTATAGCCCAGGAGCAATCAACAGGCAGTACCATATAGCCTAGACATGTAGTAGGCTACACTATCTAGGTTTGTATAAATGCATTTCATGATATTCAGAGAATGACAAAATTGCCTAATGAGGTTTTTCTCAGAATGTATTTGTTGTTAAACAGTATAAAATTGTATAATGAAGTTACTACAATAAGTTCTGCTGTCATACTTGTTTTGAAAATACAAGTTTGTTCCAACAAGATCGACATGTTAAGGAAGTGTTTGAACATAATACAATTTCACATTTGTTTGTGTGTGATTTTGTCTACTTGAAATACTAGTTGAATGCAGAAAACTACCCAGATAACCTGAGCCACGTAAGAATACACAAAACTCACACAGATACACCCCTCAAACATTACCAGTGACTTCAGCCCACTGCCTGAGTTATGAGCCACACCCATCCACATATAGTATAATAAATTTCCCTCTGATTTCAAATAATGCTGCTTCTGCCATTTCACAACCCATAAGCTGTGACCTTTCTGAGGCCCATTTCCACAAGCAAATGCCATGTCTTTTTCAAGATAAAGGGTTATATTTGGTGTAGTATTTATGCATTTCTTAAACATTTATCATGTGTAAATTCATGCTACCATTTTTATTGGGTCTTGATCTGATTTTTATGGTCCATTGACAAAGTTTCTGAGTGCTGTATACTAAACCTCATGTTGCCCATTAAGTCCTATAGTTTTAATTGCACATTATTCAGTGATAACTATATCTAAATAAATATCTGGTAGTTACCAGGCAAATATAATAAATATGTATATGCATACCTACATTCATAATATATAATATTGAAACACAATTGAGGAATTTTAACATAAATTCAAAAAATTTCTTTTACATTTTAGAGGTAACTATGCCTTTAAAAGTATTTATTAAATGTACTTGGGAGAGTTTGTTCAAAAAAGACTATCAATTAGAAAAGCCATTCAGTATGCCAAGCTATATATAGATGTCTCCATAGTGGGTGAAGATTTGTCATTTATCTTTAAGATAATTATGAAAATTATATTCACCCCACACACCCTGAGCTGGGAAATGATTTTCACATCTTTTTCCTCATTTATAAATCTTTTCTAACAGGAGTTATGCAAGATTCAGACTGGTCAGTACAGAGCTGAATTTTGGTGGTCCCTTTAACAATAGGAGAGAATCCAATTTCCTACTTAGGGTCTGTCTTTTGCTTAACGAAGGCATACAAAGTGCTCAGCACATTCCCAGAGCTTCTGAGAATTTCTCCCTTGAGAGATCTCAGGAAATATGAGGAAAAACAACTTCAAAAAAAAAATTAGTGAAAGGCCTATTACTGTTCGCCTTTCTGTCTTTCAACCCCTGCCCTATTCTTTCTATTTTCTAGAAGCATAGTGTCTCCTCAGTTTCAAACATTTTTCCACTTCTTAGATTCCCAAGGTGGGCTGCCCTTTTCTGGCACTACATCTATGAAAGGGACAGGGAAAAGATCTTACAGAAATTGAACCCTGACACGGGGCTTATTTTCCTAAGGACCAGAACATAGAAGGACAGGGTGGGACTGTGGACGCATTAATTTCAGACAAGGGCAGCCTGTGGAGAGAGAGAAATCTGAAAAGGCTCTAGGCCTCTACAGGCATTTCCCTCCACTTCTTTTTCTTGCTGCCAGATGACTCTCACATGTGAATCCTTATTTTCTTAGGAATGCGGATCAGGGTTTGGCAAGTACGTTTTTAGTAAATAATTGCTGAATGTTCAACGTTGAAATGCAGAAGCATAACTTTGAGTGCACACAGTAATCACTGAAAATGATCCTGTACTCACTGTTGTGATGCAAAAGCAAATTCTCATAGCCCCTGCACTGCCTCTGTGGTCACCTGTTAGTGACTCCAGCCAAAAGCCATGCATGAGCCCTAGTCTGCCTCCAGGCAGCAGACCACGACACAGTGTCCTGTGTTGTGCACCTGTACACACCCATGGGCACACATTACACCCACAAACCGTGGGTTATGCTAACGTGTACTTCCTTCCTCACGGCCTCACCTTGTTCACTTTCCTTTTTCCCCACCCCTCACTGCACACAATGGGATTTTTGTTTGCTTCAGTAGCATGTGACAGCACAGTCCCTGCTTTGCCTAGCTCTGTGCTGCAAGTCTCTCAGGTAACAGGTGGCAGCTTCCCCTGTTGGATTCTAGGTTTTAAAAAAATGACCTCATATGGGTGGAGCTCTGGGACTTCCTAGAGGTGGTGGCAGTCACAGCCAGGTAACCCTGGAGTGAAGCGGTTTAGTTAGAAGGGGGCAGATAAACTTGTCACTCTAGTGGCTTTAACCCTCACCCCGAGGCACCTTAGCCACCAGCCATTGCCTGCAAGCCTCTAAAGCTTGTCTCTGCCTCATATGGAGTCCAAAGAAGCCACTGGGAAAGAAAGCATGGTCACCAAGAAAAAGAATCTGGCCTTCTTGAGGCCCAGACTCTATATGCTGGAGAGAAGGAAGACTGACACGGTGGTTGAGAGCAGTGTTTCTGGGGACCACTCTGGCGCCTTGAGGAGGAGCCAATCTGACAGGACCGAATACAACCAGAAATTACAAGGTAACCAAAAAGAAATCAATTGTCCCATGTTACTGCACTCCCAGCTCCATTTCTGCTACAATTCCATTCGCAAAGAAACACACAAGGCAGAGGAGAAAATCGAATACCACCTCTGCTTCCCACAAAATAAGATGAAAGTAAATGCGACCTGTAAATTATAGAAAAACTTTTTATTATGTGATTCAACAGTTAAAGAGTTAATTCTGAATTACTCTTAATATTGCTTTTTTAATTTTCTGGTGAGGGTAATCCTTTTTCTTCTACTTTCTCCTTTTCTTCTCCTTTCTCCACCCAACTTAAGAAGTGGAAAACACGGGAAAGCAAATGATTAGGAAACCTACAAAAGATTGTTTATCTCGAAAGGTAGATGTGTGATATTACACCATGAGATCTGTCTGGGTAATTGTACCGAACGGTTGATTGTGGTTATCTTAAACAGGGGCATGAAACTGTAACCTATGAAAAAGAAGGAATGTTATAGTCAGAGAGATGGTATAACAAGATTTGCTGAAATTCGCTCAGGTGATCATTTCCTTTAAGTAAATTGAATAGTACTCAAATATGGTAAGAAATATTTAGCATGCTTATTTTGAATGACATTTGAGGAAATAACTTCAGTTTACTTTGTGATGGTACCCTTCCTTTCTCTCCTCTGTTTCCTGAAGGTCATTTGACCTAGTAAAACTTTATTTTGATGTTGATATTGGGCAGCATTTTAAGTCTTCTCTGCAGTACCTGTTATGTGATCTTCCGGAACTTGCCTCTCCTGCTTTGAGCACAAGTCATGTTTGAACTCTCATCCTCCCACTGTGAGCTGTCGTTTTGGATTTGAAAAACTATGATGAGATCAGATAGGACATGCTTATGTTTAGCAAATCTCTTTCCACAAATATGACCTAAGATTTAGTTATGCAAATCAATTAAGTTAAATTAAATGAATTTAAATTAAATATACAAATCATTACTATAAGTTAATGTGTAAAATTTAAAAAAAAATTACTGGTAGTTCAGCACTAAAGCTGAACTTAAGCATTAATCTTATCCTCAAAAAATTTTTTTTAATGAGGGAGGGTGCTGTTTTGAAATTATTTTTTTCTCAAAGCAATGAATACATTGGAAATAATGCATTTTTAAAAATTTTAACTTTCACTTTATATTCAGGGGTTACGTGTGTGTTTGTTACATGGGTATTCTGTGCGATTTGGTGATCTCATCACCCAGGTACTGAGCATAGTACCTATTAGGCAGTTTTTCAGCCCTTGCCTCTGTCCCGCTCTCCTCACTCCAGTCGTCCTCAGCATCTACTGCTGCCAATTTTATGTCCGTCTGTGTCTAATGTTTAGCTCTTATTCGTAAGTAGAACATGCAGTATTCGGTTTTCTGTCCCGGCATTAATTTGCTTAGGATAATGGCCTCAGGTTGTATCCATGTTGCTACAAAGGACATGATTTTGTTCTTTCTTATGGCTGTGTAGTTATTCCATGGTGAGTACGTGCCTTGAGAATTTAAAATCATACATACTTGATTTCTAATCCTGGCTCTTCAACTTACTGCCTATAAGAACTTGAGCAAATTATCTTAAATATCTAAGCCTCAATTTTCCTATCTGTGAAAGTGGGACTGATGATGCTTACCACATAGTGTTGTTGGGAGAATGAAATTAGATAATTACATAAAACAGCTGGAATACTGGCTGACACATTTTAGGAATAATGGATACCATAATGATAAAACAGAACTTACCCAATATTAATCAAAGTTTGTATATCTTATATCTCTTTTTCAGTTCTTTTTTGTCCTTTAATAAAGAAACCACATCTAAAAATTCAGGAAAAGCCCATTGCTTTATCCCTAATTACATGTTTTCTTCTGCCTGAGTTTCTCTAATTCAGCATCTATCAGAGTCTCTTAGCAAAATAAAAATAGCAAATAATTTTTGCTACTCACAAATTTTTGCTTACTACATTTACCTTAAAAAGTAAGTCTATGACCACATAATATAGCAGCATGTGTTGATTACTTTGCAGAAGACCTCAGGCTTTTTATGCACTTCATTTCATTTGCTCCTAGAACTGTCTGTGCTTGAGAAAAATCACCAAGGAGTATAGAGGAACATATATAGCATAAAGATAGGCTGGACTCCTGATAAGTAGAGTTTTTAAAACGTAACCCTTAAAAAAATCCAAGTCTGATTATCGAATGCCTAATAGAGCTTTTAGCATGATTCGACTATAACAGCTTTGGCAACAACGAAAGGCATTTTCTCATTAATGTTCAAAGCAATCAGTTCTGTGGGTTTGCTCTCTGGCCTGTACAATACCCATTATCATGCAGATGAATCCTAAATCATCTTAAGAAGCTCTTTATTATTCAAATGCCAAGAGCTTTTCTTCTGCCTTCCTTGGAACTGGTAGTCCCTGGGAGGCATTGAATAAACACCTGGGCTGGTTAGGGCCCTCAGATAGATGGCCTAAAGCTCTTGTGAAGTCAAAGTGTGCTTTCAAATACTGCAATTTCTGATAACACCACATTTCTCAAATTATTTAGTTGCTTATTTAATTGGTTGTCTTTCAATGCTGTATTGCTAGAGAAAAATAATTCACTCCTCTAACTCTCTGGAGAAGCAAGTTCTCTGGGTTCTGGAAAATATAAGGTCTTTCTTTGGTGCTCTTGAGCTTGTGTTTTAACTCATAATACATAGTCTATCTGTTCAATGCAATTCACTTTAGTAGTATGAATCTAAGTTGTAATAACAATTTTTAAAATGGTACATGGGCTGAATTAAAGCAATAGAATATGGCTCTAATGAGGACATCCTAAAACCTTTGCAGAAGATTGTGATCACATCAACATAGTCATTCCTACTAAGACTCGAGCTGAACAATAATAGAAAGGCTACCCTTAGGCTCCTTTACTCCTTAAACAGATGAATTCAGTTGACTGGCATCTATTGAATATGTTATACATTGTTCTTTGAAATTAATTTTTCTCAAGGCTCTGGATACGTCGGAAAGAAGGCAAATTGTAAAATCATACACATTTGGTAAATTGGCATTTATTGAATGTTTGATATACTGTGTCTTGAGGGTTACAATGAAGAGCAAAAACAGAATATGTGCCAGGAATTACAACCACAAAATCATTAAGAAAACATGTCTGACCTTTACTCCAAAGAGGCTCAAAGTCTGGTTGGGAAAGATAAGACAGGTAAACAAATAAATGCAATAAAGTGGCACTATAGAAGTAGAGGTAGGATCAGTGGGTCCAAAAAAGGAGGAAATGGTCTATTCAGGACTGTGTGAAGGAGGTGGTCAGAAAATGGTGTCTCTAAGAGATGATAAGGGTAAAGATGAGGAAAGGTACAGGGAAAAGAAGGGCATTTTAACTTTTTCACTGTATTTAGCTCTGTCTGAATTGTTTTTGTTTCTTTGTTTATCATCTGTTATTGACTGCTGTTTCTCTCCCATTTCTCTGCCTCCCCTCCCATACACCATGAAAGAAACCCTATCTGTCTTGTTAACTGTTTCATCTCAGCAGTCAAGAATACAGTAAACACTCAGTAAGTGTTAAATAGAATGAACGACTTAAATGATCAGGCTCAAGCAGGAAATTGGTGTGAAGAAAAGCACCAAGGCCTGAAATAAGAACCATTGTATATAAGTATCTAAATAAGGACAGATATTTCTATCAGAAAGATAATTTTTCAGTAAATGAACATATCTGAGATTAAAATGTACAGAATTTATATAATAAGTAATTCTTAGTGGAAGCCTGTTTCAGTCCCAAAATAACTTGAGGAATGTGGTGTTGCCAGAAATTCCAGGGAATGAAACAGGCTTTTAGAGCATACAACAACCATACTTCAAGTATGCCTCTTCTATTTGTAACAAGAACCATCTTAGCTTCCACTAGATCAGTTCCTCATATCTGTTCTACTGGGAGCCATAGAAATTACCTAAATAGAGGAAATTTCATAGTTGAAGTTGTAAAAACTGAGAATTTCATAAATACTTATATATATGACCTCTACATTTGAAAGATGCCTAATTTAAAAATTATACAGAAGTGTGTCTGTGCATATACAGATATATATATGTCTCTCCAGTTTATAGATATAGATATATGTGTATGTGTTCATGTGTGTACTTGAGACACATTTTTGCAATGATTAGACTTTTTATTGAAAGTTACTGTAACATTTAAAGAACAAAAAGAACAAAAGTTTACTAACATTTAGGAGCCTTTTCTGAAAACCATATGTTAGAAGCAAATTTTTCAGGGCCACAAAAGAAATAGCACTAGAACAAAAATTTTCTCAGCAAGACTATTTTTATGTTTATAGAAGGATGCATCTCATGGATGGAGCAGAAAGCACACCTGAACAAAGGAGGGGAAGGGGTTCTTTTCCCTGATGCAGGTAGTCCCTATTGCTGTGTTGTTTCCCTATTGGCTAGGGTTGGACTGCACAGTCTAAGTTAATTCTGTTGGCTGATTTAAAGATATCAGGGGTACCAGCCAGAGTGGTGGGGTGAACAGTTTCAGCAGAAAAGGCAGTTATGGAACAGGTAACTAAAGGTGACTCAAGTCAGAGCAAGTGACCAGGGGTGACTCAGGACGAAGCAGGTGACCAGGGGAACAGATGTGAACTGTAATCGATTAGTGGTGGGCAAGCTGTTTATTGAAACTAGGTGCAAGGACACGAAGAAAATGAGAAAGTTAAACTTTAACATGGAGAACAAAGAACACAGAAACTAAACATACTGGCATACTGATTCTTTGAAGAGAAATTTGGAACTCACAGTATTCAACATATATATGATTTACGTCACTGACATTATTGAATTCCTCTTAGTTTACCTTTGCTAAAAATATGAAGTTTAGAGGTCTTGCTCTATGGGTACCATGGACTGAATGTTTGTGTCCCTCTAAATTTCATATGTGAAACCTAATCCCCAGTGTGACAGTATTAGGAGGTGGGGTCTTTAGGAGGTAATTAATTA